AAAGCTGGTCGCTGACAGCAGTGTCTACTCCTCCCTCTGAAAGCGAACAGATCCTTGTTCTTTTCCACACGTTCATTAAAAAAATCTCTCATTGTTTCAAAGTGTCCAAATGTTCTCATCTCATTGAAAACTGTTGTAAACCATATGCTTGTAATAAAAATGAAATAGAAAATGGAGTGCACGTGTAATCATTAAAGACTATATGCAGAAGGAAATCATTTTTTCCTGGTTGAAATTTAGTACTTAAATCTATATTTGTGTTTATAGTAATGTACAATTTATCTATGTTGTACTATCCTTAATAAACAGTTTGTCTTCTAACATCAGCCGTTTTATTTCATCCCATATTGCCACAACTGGCAGTATGGGATGAAATAAAACCTGCTGTAATCTGTTCCCCCTGTCTAAATCAGGCAAAAAAGGCCCCAGCTTTTTCATTTTTGGCTTATAAGCATCTTTTATGATGACAATTTATTCCTGAAACTTTGGATGTGATGGACCTTTATTTCTTAAAGTTATAAGGGGGGAACAAATTATAGCAGGCCACCTGCTATAATCTGTTCCCCCTGTCTAAATCAGGCCAAAAAGGCCCCAGCTTTTTCATTTTTGGCTTATAAGCATCTTTTATGATGCCAAAAATGAAAAAGCTGGGGCCTTTTTGGCCTGATTTAGACAGGGGGAACAGATTACAGCAGGTGGCCTGCTATAATTTGTTCCCTCCTTGTAACTTTAAGAAATAAAGGTCCATCACATCCAAAGTTTCAGGAATAAATTGTCATCATAAAAGATGCTTATAAGCCAAAAATGAAAAAGCTGGGGCCTTTTTTGCCTGATTTAGACAGGGGGAACAGGTTATAGCAGGTTTTATTTCATCCCATATTGCCAGTTTACAACAGTTTTCAATGAGATGAGAACATTTGGACACTTTGAAACAATGAGAGATTTTTTTAATGAACGTGTGGAAAAGAACAAGGATCTGTTTGCTTTCAGAGGGAGGAGTAGACACTGCTGTCAGCGACCAGCTTTCAAGCAAACGGTTGTGTTTTATAATTAGTTTTAAATCAATATCACTGGCGATATTCTGCTATAACATGTGAAGTAAAGAATAAAACAGTAAAGCTCAACTTTCATACACATAAAACCTTTCAAATTTCAAGTTCTGCACGTTGGAATTGAGGCGGAGTTAACTCGGGTTGTTCTTCCTACTCCGTGCACGCTCCCGACGAGGGGATACAAATTTTCGCAGGGATAACTACCTTGGCACGACACCGGTACGGTAATTTCGCATTCTGCTTACTTTTTTCCATTTAGTCAGAGAAACAAACTCAATCCTTTAGTCCTTCTTTTAGCTATGCTGCGGTTGTTTACACTACGCCTTTTCCACCAAAAATGGCGTCTTAGCAACAAATGTCACGTGACTGGCGGAGACCGATAGATGACGTGAAAAATATTAACAGTAACTCCATTGAAATGATTCAAAACTAAAGTAACGAGCCAATTTTTAAAAATGTAAGGAGTAGAAAGTACAGATATTTGTGTAAAAATGTAAGGAGTAGAAGTAAAAAGTCGCCATAAAAATAAGTAGTAAAGTAAAGTAAAAATATCAGAAAAATCTACTTGAGTACAGTAACAAAGTAATTGTACTTTGTTACTTCCCATCTATGAACTTGGCTAACTACAATCTTTGTTATTTAAACACATGCATAACAAATAATGTTTGAAAACATGCTAAATTTTCAAACTCGAAAATTGGAACAAAATAGTCACTTACCGCAGTAGACATGGTGATTCGTTGCGTTCGCCTCTCTGCTAAGCTCAAAACAACCGCGCCTGGCTTGATGGAGAAACCAGGAGAACAGCTGAGCATTTTTACGACGGTGCACTTTTACTTTCGCCCTCTGGGGGGAGCCTCGCTGGAAAATCAACACATGTTGCATAGTATACCTTTAAAGGAATAGTACACCCAAAACATGATTAGCCTTCATTTTCTACTCACCCCCATGCTGAACAACACTCTGGAGTACTTTTTTGATATCTCAAATGCAAATGGAGATCTGGGAGGCTTCTTGCTGTCTGCTGACATTCAAATAATGGAGGTGCCCAGCGCCCGAGGCAGAAAGGTCCATAAAAGTCCACAAAAAACGTGTCAATATTCCTCCATACTGCTCGTCCAATGTATTCCAGGTGTCCTGAGTGGGTAGCATCCATAATTTACTCGAAACAAAGTCATTTAGAATGTTTTTAGAGCATAAACAGTAGTGTATTTTATGACAAATAATTAAAGGTTTGAACTATTACATTTATTTACCTATCTTCATTTGCTCTGAGCTGTCTTGCCTTGATATTTACTTATGATTGTAGCTTGTTACTTTGGTCTTTGTTGATGTTTCACAAATAAGCAAACCTGACAGACATGTAGAAATATTGAGAAATGCACAATGTTTTCTCCAAACAGAGATGACTTGTGAGACAGATTCCTGAAAATGCATTGGAAAAACCATCTAGAAATAAGTAAAAAATATCTTAAATTAAGTGTTTTTACCCTTAATTTGAGCAGGTGAATGAGTAATAAATGATAGTTTGCCAATGGAATGAGTGTTTTAACTCTTAAAATAAGATAATTAGATAATATGCACTTGAAATAAGACAATGCAATTGTGTTTTTCTCATTTTAAGTGTAAATTATGTTGTTCCATTGGCAGAATGTCTCTTTTACCTGCTCAATCCAAGAACAATTGTACTTATTTTGAAAAGAAAAATACTTTTTTTTCCCAGTGTGTGAGCATTAACTGATCTTTTATAACCTCTGATGTGATGTCATATCTGCAATGCTTGCTGGGAGGTGTAGTTCCAGTCTGGTCATATGTACCGTATTTTCACGACCATAAGGCGCACCGTACTAAAAGGCGCAGTCTCAGTTATGTGTGCCATTTCTGTATTTAACACACACATAAGGCGCACCGGACTATAGGGCGCGTTTTTTATATACAGGTACAAGTCCTCTACTACCTTTAAATACCTCTACTGCGTATTTAAAAATACAGCGGGGGCAAAACTGAGTATGATTGTGCTTTATTCATGTATTTATTACAAAGTATTAATCAAACCTGGCAGCTGGCCGTGAGACAGACACATCGCAGATGACACAGCGCTGTGATCACTCCTAAATTAACTTAAAATCCTGAAACCTGCTGACGGAATATGTTCGCTTTTATTGCCGGTATCCTGGTGCCTGCAGCTAAAATTATTTAGATGAAAAACACCTGCCAGCAGCCGCGGTGAACCCCAGGCTGCCCAGCCTACAGGCTGCTGATGAAGAGATTTCTGCTGTCAGCGCACCGCTGGTATGTGGGGGTCTGAGCGCCTCCGACAGAAATAGATAATCTGGATGAACTGACTGCAATTATTAAGTTTTCAGGTGGACTTTCTCACTTAAAAACATATTAAAACTACTTTATTCCCACTGATCACAGCAAATATAACTGCAAGATTTAGATTATTTAGATGAAAAACACCTGCAAGCAGCCGCGGTGAACGAAAGGATTTCTCCTGTCGGTGCACCGCTGGTATGTGGGGGTCTGAGCGCCTCCGACAGAAATAGATAATCTGGATGAACTGACTGCAATTATTAAGTTTTCAGGTGGACTTTCTCACTTAAAAACATATTAAAACTACTTTATTCCCACTGATCACAGCAAATATAGCTGCAAGATTTAGATTATTTAGATGAAAAAACACCTGCTAGCCACCGCGATGAAGAGGAGGAGACCGGGGATGCTGTTGAATTAAGCTTTCAGGGAGAAAAATACAGCGGGAGCAAAACTGAGTATGATTGTGCTTTATTCATGTATTTATTACAAAGTATTAATCAAACCCATCAAAGTCATCATCCTCTGTTTCTGAATTAAACAGCTGCGCTAAATCAGACATGCCAGTTTCCCCTTCTTCGCTGTCAGTCACTTTCCGTGCAGCGCAGCTCCTCAGAAATAATGCCGGCTTTTGCGAAAGCTTGAACAACAGAGCCAGCAGACACTTTAGTCCAAGCATCAACAATCCATCCGCAAACTGTGGCGTAATCTGCCCGGCGCTGCCTTCTTATCCTGAAACTTTGGTCTCCGTCGGTCATCCATCGCTCCCACGCCGCTCGCAGCCTTACTTTGAACGGCCGCTTCACACCGATGTCGAGCGGTTGAAGTTCCTTTGTCAGACCTCCCGGGATAACGGCGAGCACAGCGTTCATTTGATTCACCTTTTTTTCACATCGGCTGTGAGATGGGCACGCAGCGATGGTGATGCGTGGAAAAAACCACCTAGTCTTCTCACATACACCTGCCTCAGCCACGCATCCATCCAGCCTTTTCCATTTGCGTTAATATCATATGTCATCAGAGCGCTGTCTGTCTCGCTGGCAGCTCCCAGATCAGCTTCTCTGATTGGTTGATGCGGCGCGTCCAGCAGCAAAACTTCAATTTTTCCATCTGGAGCAGCAGAAGCGCGGCGCTTAAGATGCTTAAACGCTCCCGACGCGCTGCACCAAAATGCGCTGCGGGACCTTTTGCTGCACCTATATGCGCGTCAACCATTGACTTTGCATGTAAACTCGCTGCTTCTGCTGCACCTGCTGGGTCCGGTTCACACCGATGTCGAGCAGCGTTAATTTGTTTCCCCATGTTTTTCACATCAGCTGTGAGATGGGCACGCATGGAGTTACATATTAACAGCGATGGTGAGGGGTGGAAAAAAAACACCTGGTCTCCTTACATTCAGCCACTCTTTCATCATCTCCTCAATGAGGTGGTCTCAAAAGTCGCAGTTACAACACACATAAGGCGCACCGCACCATAGGGCGCACCGCACATTTTGAGGGAAAAAAAAGACGTTTAAGTGCGCCTTATAGTCGTGAAAATACGGTAGTTAGATTCAACACAAGGATTATTAAAGTTCAGTGTTGTTTTTTTAACCAACAATAGAAAGTTTTTCTTCTTTGTTTGTCTTTCCAGACCGCCTACATAACTATGTTGGGAAAGAGGAGGTTTTCCCTGAGCAGCAGCTCTGGGAACAAGGGAGGAATTCCAGTTTGGAACAAGAGGAACCACAAACTTTGCAGATAAAAGAAGAGCAGCAAAAGCCAGAACATCCCTGGACAAAAGATGAAACCATGGAGTTCCCCATAAGTGAGCATGAAGAGCAGCTTGGTCTGAAGCAGGAGACCGGACATATGGGAGAGGAACCACTCCCCTGTTTGACATGTGGAGAAAGATTTCTAAAAAAAGAACATTTAATAGATCACATGAAAACTCACGCAGGTCAGAAGATTTATGAATGTCTGTCGTGTGGAAAAAGCTTCAGAGATAAAAGCACTCTAAATAAACATATCAGAGTTCACACAAATAAGAAGCTGTTCTCCTGTACAATTTGTGGCAAAGGTTTTGGTCAAAAAAGTGATTTAGCTAGACATACGACAACTCACTCAGATGAAAGACCTTTTTCTTGTAAGACCTGTGGGAAAATGTTCAAAAGAAGAGATTTGGGGATTAAACACATGAAAACTCACACGGTGGGGAAGATTTATGAATGTCTGTCCTGTGGAAAAAGCTTCCCTAAGAAATCTCACCTTGATGTACACATGAGAGTTCACACATGTGAGAAGCCCTTCTCCTGTATGAGCTGTGGCAAAAGTTTTACAGAAAAGGGTAATTTGACAAGTCACATCAGAATTCACACAAGTGAAAAGCCTTTTACATGTATGTCCTGTGGGAAAAGCTTCACCTTTAAATCTGTTCTCAATCGACACATGAGAACCCACACAGGTGAGAAGCCATTCTCCTGTACGCTTTGTGGCAAAAGTTTTACACAACATTGTAATTTGGTTTGTCACATGACCATTCATTCAGATGAAGGACCTTATTCTTGTAAGACTTGTGGAAAAATGTTCAAAAGAAGTGATTCAGTGTATGAACATATGAGAACTCATACAGGGAAGATTTATGAATGTCTGTCCTGTGAAAAAAGCTTCACCTTCCAATCTGCTCTTAATCGACACATCAGAGTTCACACCAGTGAGAAACCTTTTGAATGTCTGTCCTGTGGAAAAACCTTTAGATTTAAATGTAATCTTAATGAACACATCAGAATTCACACAGGTGAGAAGCCCTTCTCCTGTATGATCTGTGCCAAAGGTTTTACTAAAAAACATAATTTGACAAGACACATGGCGACTCATGAAAAAAATGTTTTTCAACCATGACGTTAGAGTAATGATCTTAAAAATAACTATTTACATGGAGAAGCAGCATTTAGTTCCTATGCTCCACTTATCTGGAACAAACTTCCAGAAAACTGTAAAAGTGTGGAAAGCCTGAGTTCCTTTAAATCAAGACTAAAAACACATTTGTTTAGGATTGCCTTCGACTGTTCTAGTTAAACAGTTCAACTGAAGCATCATTAGTTCAACTTTTTTTATTTTCTTTAGTCCAACTGTTTTTAATTCTTTGTTTCTGCATTTTTTAATTTTATTTTTTATTTTTTCCTACTTGCTTTGATTCTGTTTTATTTTCTTATATTTTAATCATGTAAAGCTCATTGCATTGTCTTTGTACTGAATTGTGCTATACAAATAAATGTGCCTTGCCTTGCCTTGCCTTACTGATTCACATAAGAAGTCACAGCAGTTAGATGCTACAGGAATGAACAGGAGAGGCCTTTACTTTTCTCCAGCTTTTTATTATCATTACACGTTTGCAAGTACAGGGCAACAATATGAACTGTCTGCGTTAAACCCATTTCCTCGGGGAGCAGGGGGCTGCCATTGTGCGGCGCCCTCAGGGAGCAGTGTGGGTTTAAGGGTCTTCGCTCAGAGACCCACAGTGGCAGTCTGTGGGAGTGGGGCTTGAACCAAGAACCTCTGCGTTTCAAGCGCAATGCCCTAACAACCAGGCCGCCACTCCCCATATCGCCTACTACCTTTGAGTCATGATAAAATGTAAATCTAGAAATGGTAAATGGCCTGTATATATATAGCACTTTTTCAAATCAGGAGACTTGACCAAAGCACTTTGCACTACCTTCAGTTATTCACCCATTCATGCACACACTCACACACTGATGATGGCTACATAGATACTCCTTCACCTCATTACATGAGAAACTCACAGGTTAAAGCCTTTTTTTAACCAAGTTTGTAGAAAACCCTTTATTAAGCAGTAATCTACTCTTTAAATAGAAATAAGGTGTAATATTGTAAACGTGGTAAATAATTAAACTAAGGGGCCCAAAGAACTCAGTTTAGAGGCTGGAGTCACTGTTGACCTAAAACAGTGAAACATGTTTGTCTGATGAGCTAAACTAGATTAAAGTTGAAGCTGTTATGTGGTTTAAAGTTTATTATTGCTGATGGATTTGATCCTGCTTCAACTTGGTGAAACTCATTTTGGATTAACCCTTTATAGGGCACTCAGTGAAATCCTTTGAAAATCCACATTTCAAGCCAGTAGTGTAATTGGAATCCTTCTTTATTACCTTTTTTCCTTGACTTTCAAACATTTCAATTAGCTTTGTACCTTTTTTCTTTGACTTTTTGATTTTTTAATACATTTTTAACCGTTTTTTTCTTCTTGACTTTTTAACTCTTTTGTTTTTCAACTTAATTTACAGCAGGTAATATATCATTCAAGGGCTCATCTAATTGGTCAAATGCCAAAATAAGATGTACAGCCATGTAGCAGCATCTTTGCTGAATGGCTGGATATAGACCTTGTGCTTCTAGACGGGACAGACTCTATTTGTAAGGGGGATTCAAGTGATCAGAAATGGTAAGGGTTAATAATTTATTAAAGATTTTTTCTGCTTTAAAGATCTTTAAGATCTCTGGAAGTTTTATAAACCTGCCATGATTAAGAAAAACTATTGTCTATTTTATACAACTATCGTTTTATTGTATTATTTTCTGCTTTGGATGTTTTCTCTAAATGTAACCACTAATGGACTGATGAACCAAACAGAAATAAAATTATTATATTTGCTTCTTTTTATGGCTTCAAATAAGTTAGAAATGATCTTTTGCCATGTTTTCTCTTAAATTACATACAACCTAAAGCTATAATATAATCTATGATTAAGGAAAATTGGACATTTTACTGTAGGATGATTAAGGAACGTGTCAGTATTTCTTAGTGGTCAAAGTTTGGTTAATTTAATTATTTCAGATTTAGTTTAAACTGATCAGTCCCACATGTTAGTTATTTAAATGAAAGTTTGAGCTGGGAGGTGAGACTTCAAAGAAAACCTGATTACAGGATGGACAGATCAAATCCTGATGAACTATCACGAGTTAGATTAGAGCATGAGAAAACCAAGCCTGGGATTCCCTTATAAAGTCCCCTGAATTCAACATTGTGCAGGAATTTCATTGGTTCCTCACCAACCATTTATCTTTTACATAAATTCTAAATTCTATTCTGTTCTTCTATTCTCTCGCTCTGCATTGCTGCATTTCTGATGGTGATTTTGTGAAGTTAACGACCCTGTTATCAGGAGAAGAGTAACAACATGTTTTAATAATAATGACCGTAAAGTTCTTATTTTTTTTTTAATATATGCTGCTTTATTGATTCAGAAGTAGGATTAAGGTTGCCTCGTTTCTTTGTTTTGCTTCCACCTCTCAAATCAGTCTCTACCTTGATCCCTCCTTGTTTATGTTTTTCTTACTTTTTTATCTCTTATTGCCTCCGCTACAGAAAGTTGAACAAAACTAAACTGTTCAAGGATTCTCCAGTTGGCCTTTTTTTCTTATTTTTATGTTCTTTAAAGAACACCACAGAGAAGGAAAAGTCCATATCAGCACAAAATGCTTCCCTTGACCACTTGAGACTTTGACAAACTCAACTCAACTAATTCCATAGTGTTAAATATGCAGTACGAGTTATTAAAACAAAACCTGGAGTAAGATTTATCACTATGCAGAGTTCATTTAATATTCATTCAGAGTGGGACCCAATGCACTGGATTGGTGTTATTGGTGCAATTTCAATTGCACGCTGCAATTTTTACTGTGAATCATTGTCAAGGAAATTAAAATTAACAGACTAGAAGTGAGTGCAGAGGAAAATGCTGGTTATGGAAACTATACATCCCTGCAGGTGTCTCAAAACTGAGATATTTTTATTTACATAATGTGTCTCTTCCCAACAGGTTATTTGGTGTTTTTTCAGAAACTAGAATTGATATTCTAATTTCATTTTCGTTGGTGACCAGCCAAACAGGAGCAGTCAGTTCTAGAAGTTGTATGCTGGTGAAGATTCTCAGTCATCCAGGTCATAGTCATTCCGTAAAAGTTTAAAGAACAATCCACTGGACTTGGTTTGAAGACGTTTCGCTTCCCCTCCAGGAAGCTTTCTCAATTCAAAATGTGAATTCTCAACTCAACTCAATTCACATTTTGAATACACATACAGAACAGCATACACATGTGTATGCTGTTCTATGTCAACCAGCATCTGCATTTTTAAGTTGTCAATTTTAGTTTGAATTGGTGTTTTAGTGGTAGAATTCTCACAAACCACAAACTCACATCTAGTTTCCATCTGAATGCTTCACTGCATCTGCATCCTGACTTCCCTGTCTGGACACTCATCTCCCCTGCTGTGTACAAATCTTTAACACGACCTTAAATAATCTCAATACCACATGTTATAAATACACATCAATGTACGTATGGTTATTGATACCAAGGCCTTCAATGGAAAAACAGTCTAGAAATAAGTAAAAATTTCTTAAATTAAGTATATTTACCCTTGATTTGAGTAGGTAAGTGAGATAGTTTGCAATGGAATCAGTATTTTTACTCTTAAAATAAGATAATTAGATAATATTTACTTGAAATAAGACAATGCATTTGTGTTTTCTTATTTTAAATCTAAATTCTCTTGTTCCATTGGCAAGATGTATCTTTTGTCTCCTCAATTGAAGAACAAATGCACTTATTTTAAGAAAAAATGACTTATCAAGATTTTGATTTTTTGCAGTGCCATACCCTTCTACCCTCATGGCTTTCTAGAATGCTGACCAGTCATCGGGCCAACCATTGACTGCAAATGCAACAAAATAAGAAAATAAAAAACGGTTTAAAGTAAAAAAAAAAAAAAAAAAGCACATTACGCTCCTTACACCCAATGAAAACACAGAACTGGTAGGAAAAACGCTCAAAAGATTTTCTCACTTTTCCACTGCTTCACAAACACTCATTACACATGAAAACCCATTTATTTTTACAGTAAAACTATTATGTATATAATCGTTTAAAAGTATTCTCAAAAACGTGATTTAACATGTAACAAAAGTCATCATGGTTCATTTAAAGGAAACTTTGAAAAAAACAGATTGTTGTCAACAATTTTACAAAAAATACTTTTGTAATGGAATCTTTAAATTCATTAATGATAGATGAGATTTACTGGGATATGTAACATGCAATAAAATCTAAAAAATGTTTTACAAGAAAGAACACGTTGTGTTATATTTAAAATGCACTTTTGTCTTAAGTAAATCAGCAAGATTCAGAAATAGTTGCACCAGCTAACCTGCAGAGCCAGACTCGGAGCCGAGGGACTTAAAATTGAAATATAAGAAACCTACAAGGTTTAAAACACGAAAAATACAGTTTAAAAAATCAGTGAATCGATGATATGAAATAAAATCTTCAAGTTTAAGACTTTACCTGTCAAAGATATGTGTTTGATGAAACTCTGAATTAGTTTTTACTGAGAGTGTCCCCACCGACTTTAATAACAAAGTTACGCCCTTGTACAAAAGTACCTGAGACTGTCAATTCTCCAGTGTCATTTTGGAAGAACCTGGTGCATGACAAACCATCTGCCAGCAGCAATAGCTTTGCTCTTTTTCCATTACAGCCTTACTGCTGACAAATAGTTAAAAGATACAGTTAAATCAACTACACTCACCGGCCACTTTGTTAGGTACACCTGTCCAACTGCTCGTTAACACTTAATTTCTAAGCAGCCAATCACATGGCGGCACCTCAGTGCATTTAGGCATGTAGACATGGTCAAGACAATCTCCTGCAGTCCAAACCGAGCATCAGTATGGGGAAGAAAGGTGATTTGAGTGAGTTTGAACGTGGCATGATTGTTGGTGCCAGAAGGGCTGGTCTGAGTATTTCAGAAACTGCTGATCTACTGGGATTTTCACGCACAACCATCTCTAGGGTTTACAGAGAATGGTCCGAAAAAGAAAAAACATCCAGTGAGCGGCAGTTCTGTGGGCGGAAATGCCTTGTTGATGCCAGAGGTCAGAGGAGAATGGCCAGACTGGTTGGAGCTGATAGAAGGGCAACAGTGACTCAAATAACCACACGTTACAACCAAGGTG